TTTAAGTGCATTTTTAAAAATTACCTTTTGTTCTTGTAAAAACTGGTCTGCTAATTTTTTAATATTTTCTTCATGCTGTGCTCTTAATTCTTTGATCTGTTGTCCACACTGAAAACTAAATTACAAAGTCATTCTTTTAGATTTTATTATTGTGGATTGGAATGCTAATGTTTTCTAGAAATTGAAATACATTTACATAAATAAAAATGGTTAGCACAGGAAAGTAGGCAGAGAAGGACACAAAGTGCAGGCATAAAAATAGTTTACAGTAAAAATTAAAAAACATTTGAATTTTTCATAGAGGATATAGAATACTGACATAATAATTGAAAAGAATTAGAAAGATGAAAGAAATTAGTTTTCTATTATTTTTATAAACTGTATTTATAAAGAAAAAAGTATCTGAGACAACTTCAACCATAGAGAGAAAAATACAGTAGAAGAGAAAAACTGTTAACACAAGAAAGTAATAGATGAGAAAAGTCAGACTTAAGAGCTGACATGGCATGGCAGATGATTCATCTGATAGTTAGTACTTTTAAAAACACAAATTAAACTTCCTATCTGTAAATTTTATCTATATTAACAAAATTAAATTAGAATTATAAAAACCAATTCTTGGTTGTTGTTTGTTGAGTGCCATCGTAGAACTACAGAAAAACATCTAAATTAGTGAAATCATTTCAGAAAAGCAATTTTTCTTCTGTGCTATAAGAACAAAATTGATCATTCTGTCTTAGGAATTCTACATTTGAGAATATACAACAATGAAATAACATAATAGAAAGCTTTTTTACATAAAGATTTTAATCACAGTTATAGCAAGAAAAAGGAAACTCCTACAGTGGGTCTAACATTTGGAAGAGATTAAACAAGTTTTGATACACTAATATTGTATATCAAATATTATTTCTGAATATATTAAATCTTTAATCCTATAGACATAATGGAAACATTGAATATTGTTAGGTTAAAATACACACACACACACACACTATGCATGTGTATAGACATAATTTCATTATCTTTTAATTCCATTGTTCTGTACACTTTTGGAAATTCCTCTGTATGTAAATCCCCATTGATAATCTAAAAGTCCAAGTAAGAGATGGATAAAAAGTGCTTTAATATATGGCAATTTTTATAATTTTTGGTGTATAGACCTAAAGTTTACTTTCTACCATAAAATTGGTTAAAGATATACAAAAGGTTTTAAAAGAGTGATCATTAAAAAGGCCTCTAAGAATGTACAGACGTGAGCAGTGGGCTAACAGGCAAGGCAAAAGAAGCAGAATGCATTCCTAGTCCCTCAAAAATTCTCAGGACATCTTTCAGGGCTGGCTTCATTTTCTAACAAGAGGGGCACAGAATCTTTTTGTCTTTGCCACATCTAATTTAATAAAACACAGAGCCTGTAAGATTTCCTATCTCATAATGAACTCCTGTTAAGAGATATTTTCCTAGTATTTAACATACCAAATTAACAATCAGGATTTATGAAATGCTGGTGGTAGCATGAAAACATTCCAGAAGAGCTGTGCCCTGCAGCGTTGCAGAAATAATACTTTGGATCCTGGTCGTTTGTAACTTTTTAAATGATATATCAAATTATCAAAGACTTTATATGTATTTGAAAGCAGCTACCTATATCACTCATACTCTGCTTTTTAAAAACAAGTTTTAAAAGATATTTCAAATCACCCATGTGATTAAAATAAAAATTGAAATTGCTTAAGACAAAAAGAACTTTAAAAAAAGACGTCTAAATAGAACAAAAAGGAATTTAGAAGTTCCAAGAAAGTGAAAAAAAAGAGGGAAATAGAAATCAGATAGGAAGAAATGAATTTCATCTAAAAGTTGGACAAATATTTCAGATTCACAAATATCTGCTGCATCTAGCGTCTTACCTCTCATATTCTAACCTCTTCACAAGGTAAGTATTATTCTTCCTATAGTCTTGAAGCTGGTCTTCTTGTCGAAGAAACTCCTGACGAAGCTCAGCAAGTTGCTCTATCCACATAAAGTAAAAACCAAAGGAATAAAACTTACTCTCTCAAATGCTTCCAATTAAGAACTTATGAGAATTAAAAATTACACATCTTTCTCAGTTTCTTTACTCATACTTTTAGGTATTTAAATTATATAATTAGCATAACATTTAATTGCCTTTTACAGCATATTCATGGGCAATAATTTATTTTAAAATATAACCAGTGACTTTCAGATCAATCAGAAATTTTAAAACATAAATTATGTTTTTCTACACTATGTACAGTACAAAAACCAACCTATTTCTTTAGATGTATCTGCTTTATAAAAATAGGAAACTTCAGACTGCTTAGACATATTGGCTAGGGGTATAAAATTCAAGATTTCTTTTTCATTTTAAATCACAGTTGACTTCTAACTTAGGTGACACTGACTTCAGACTGCATTTCTAATTCTGCTGCTGACAGGATGTTCACATATGCCAAAACTCAGCTATCAAGGCTCATATAATTTCTGACTAAGGATGAAAGTTTTAAGTTGTACTGAATAAAATGAAATTCAAAGCTGGATAATAAATTCAAACCTGAGCAGAAGCTCTTTTGTAAACATTTAATATATAAATCATTGGCTCCACATTTTCTAGATTTAACTCAGTCATCATCTAAGCCTACAGATGAAATTCAGGCAGAGGAAACTATATTATTTAAATCCTGGATGTTGATGGTGGTGTGCCATGGAGTCAATTCCTACTCATAGCGATCCTTCATTTCCAGGGCTGTAAATATTTACAGGAGCAGAAAGCCAAATCTTTCTCCTGCAGATAGGCTGGTAGTTTTGAAATGCTGACCTCGAGGTTAGCAGCCAGGCTGAGTCATAACCACTACAGTACTAGAGATGATTTAAAAATTAGCTTTAATAGCCTTAGCAATAAAAGAAAACAAACAGTTATTCAAGTCCAAATTTTTATAAACAGGAACAGTAATCTATACTATAGAAGCAACAGCTGCAAAGACTAGAATAATCTAACTGTAATTAGCAGTATTAAGTAATACTAATTATAACAACTACTTTTAAAGGAACATGTACTAATTTGAATTTGTCTTATTAAAGAAAAATGCTGCAACTAAAGGTTTTATAAAGGAGATATATATTTATAACTACATTTGAGTCAAAAATCAGAGTAGAATAAATGTATTAAGGTGCTACCAGTGATTTTGTTTAGTGGTGGGATTCAGAGAAATTTCTTTTTTCTTCTATTTCTAATTTTTATTATAGGACTATAACTGTGGCAGTGACAACAATAAAGTCACAATGAATATTTGTTGACATATATAAATAAAAATTTTAACAATATGCCTAATAGTTATTGTATGCTATACTACTCAGGTGTTTTAAGGGATTCCCATAAAATATTTGTAGTTAATATTGTTGCTATTGTTAAGTGCCGTCAAATCATTTCCACCTCATAGCAACCCAGTATAGGGTTACTGATAAGAGGTTGGTGGGTTTGAACCACTGACCTTGTAGTTAGAAATCCTGTGCTTATTTAAAATTTTTCTTCTTACACTATTAATTCTTATACTATATAAAAAGTAGATCTTCAAAGTTTTCTCAGCCTTCATGTTCACCCTAGATAAAAGTAATGGATTATCTGTCTTTCTCTTGTAGAGGTGTTGTAGTTTCCTATATATTTTAGAAATTAGTCCCTTGTCAGATACATCATTGCAAAACATTTTTTCCCATTCCATGGGATCCCTTTTTACTCTACTGGTGAAATCTTTTGATGCACATAAGTTTTTAATTTTCAGTATTTCCCAATCATCTATATTGTTTTCATTTGTGCAATTTTCACAATTTGTTGTTGTTGTTGTTAGTTAGGCACCATCGAGTCACTACCGACTCTTAGTGACCCTATTATGCACAACAGAACGAAACACTGCCCAGTCCTGGGCCAACCTCACAATTGTTGCCACACTTGAGCCCACTGATGCTGCCACTTCGCCAATTCATCTCACTGGGGGTTTTCCTCTTTTTCTCTGACCCTCCACCTTACCAAACAGAATATCTTTCACCAGTGATGGTCCCTCCTGACAATATGTCCGAAGTATGAGACACGAAGTTTGGTCATCATGGCTCCCAAGGTGCACTCTGGCTGCACTTCTTCCAACACAGATCTGTTGGTTATTTTGGCAGCCTGTGGTACTTATAATATTCTCCTCCAACACCTTAACTCAAATAAATCAATTCTTCTATGGTCTTCCTTATTCATTGTCAAGCTTTCTCATGCACATGAGATTATTGACAATATCATAGCTTGAGTCAGGCGCACCTTAGTCCTTAAGCTGACATCTTTGCTCTTCAACACTTTAAAAAGGACTTGTACAGCAGATTTGTCTAATGCAATATGTTGTTTAATTTCTTGACTGTTGCTTCCATGAGTGTTGATAGTTGATCCAAGAAGAATAAAGTCCTTGACAACTTCAATCTTTTCTCCATTGATACGAATGTTATTTATTGGTCCAGTAGTGAAGATTTTTGTTTTCTTTACATTGAGATGTAATCCATACCAAAGGCTGTACTCTTTGTCAAAGATGAGTTGGCTGTATGTGGATGGGTTAATATCTGGATTCTCAATTCTGTTCCATTGATATAGTATCTTTCACTGTACAAGTACCAGGCTGTTTTGACCACTGTAGCATGTAGTGTATTTTGAAATCAGGGAGTGAGAGGCTTTCAACTTTGTTCTTCTTCTTAAGCAGTGCTTTGCTTATTCTGGGTCTCTTTCCTTTCCATATAAAGTTTGTAACTGTTTTTTCCATCTCTTTGAAGAATGTCATTGGTATCTGGATTGGGATTGCATTATATGTGTAGATCACTTTGGGCAGTATTGACATTTGGAGCATGGTATATTCATCCATTTTTGTAGGTCTCTTTTGGTTTCTTGTAGTAGTCATTTGTACTTTTCTTTGTATAGGTCCTTTGTTTCTCTGGTTACATTTATTCCTAAATATTTCATCCTTTGGGTGGCTATTGTAAATGAAATTGCTTTCCTAATTTCCTTTTCAGCATTTTTATTATTTGTATAGAGGACTCCAACTGATTTTTCTATGTTGATCTTGTACCCTGCCACTTTGCTGAATTTTTCAATCCTTTTGTTGTATATTGCTTGCCCTTTTACCCATGTTAACATGTGACCACCCTCCAGCTTGTGAATAATATCCCCTCCTCCTCCCTCCCATAGATTGCTTATCAATAAAACCTTTTCTTAACTTTTTGCAACAATGGGGCAGGCTTGCAGGGTATGCCCTTTGGTTATTTTAACGATTATATATTCCTGAGTGTTTTGGTGCATATAAAACACACACACACACACACACACACAAACCAGAGGGAATAAAAGCAAATATTGTTGAATGATGATGCTTGGAGAGGACTGTAATCACTGCAATGAAATGAAATATGATAGGATGAGTGTAAACCTGATATTCTCCCATGTAAACTGGTGTGGCGCTGTGGATTACTGCGCCAGACTGCAAAGCCGTTTGAACTGCAAGGTTGGCAGTTCAAGCTCACCAGCTGCTCTCAGAAACCCTATACAGGGTCACTATGGGTCAGAATCAACTCGACAGCACTTGACAACAACACACTATCACTCAATTCACAATAAAAACTTAAAAAACAGTCATGGAGCTAGGCTAGATAGCCCTAAATGGCATAGATACAGAGGACTGAAGGCAGGAGAAACTCTGGCCCTCACTATGCATGATGATTACACTGAGATTCCAGCAGAAGGCAATGATAAAAGGCCTTACCGTTAGGGGTGGAACAAACCTTAATATGTTCTAGTTCAGGGTTACCGGAATTTAGCAGGTAAAGGACCTCAATTGGTGGTCTTTAGGACCCACTCTTCTCAGAAAAAATAACAGTCCCTTCTGATTGAGCCCTCTATTTTCCCCACACAGTAAAATAACTGAAGTGATTGTACTTCAGCATGACCCAAAGTATGATTTCAATATTTGGTAGGGCCTCTGTGCATACTCAAAAAAAACTTCACAATGACAATACGTGAAATTCCTTTATTGGTAAATAAAGTTTTCACTTCTAACTAGAGGTGTTCTTGTTGGTGTTAAGTACCGTGGAGTCGGTTCTGACTCACAGTGACCCTGCACAGAGGTAACTAGAGATAAAATGGCATAAAATACTCATATAATTGACCTAAGTAAATATCAGTATAGATGAGTTTTAAAGTCTGAAAAACATTAGATTCTTTCCTGTTTAGAAAGATTAAAAAGTAGGACAAAAATTGAAAAGCAAAGAGGTACCAGTGCTGTAAACTGGTCAAAACAAAGACCCAAAGGGGGAATAAAGTAAGTAAACCAGAAAGCAAAACCAAAGACAAAATTTTCCTATATCACAATTTTATTTTCAACTGATTTCCACACATTTTCTTTATTTGAACTCAGAGATACTCGTGTCTAGCACAGCTGCGTCAGGTCACCATTGTAGGGTCCACAAGCAACGTAAGAATATGAGGTCTGGTTCACAGTTTATTGTGCAAAATGCTCTCTTTTGGAAAGCAGCACCAGAGAACGTTAAATGTATTGCTGCTGCTGCTGTTATTAGATGCTGCCAAGTCAGTTCTGGCCCATAGCAACCCTATGTACAACAAAATGAAACACTGCCTGACCCTGCCCCATTCTCACAATTGCTGCTATGCTTGAGCCCATTGCTGCGGCCACAGTATCAATCCATCTTGTTGGGGGTCTCTTTTTTGCTGACCCTCTACTTTACCAAGCATGATGTCCTCTCCAAGGACTTGCCCCTTCAGATAATATGTCCAAAGTATGGAGTTCTGGTGTGGTGCTGTTTAAGATATGCACTGGAACACAAAGTCAGTTCAAACTGCAAGGTTGGCAGTTCAAACTCATCAGCTGCTCTTCAGAAACCCTATACAGAGTTGCTATGAGTCAGAACCGACTTGAATGCACTTAATAACAACAGCAAGAGAGATGAAGTCTGGC